TGGCAATCACCAACGCCTTAGGGTTTATATTATGATACACAAATGCAGGTAATAACAACAATAACACCAACGTATGCATTTTTCGTATTATATTGCGCTGAAAGCATGACGGAGTTGTACTGTGCCACCACCGTCGGTGTTTCTCCGCGCCTTCAACACTTTTCTTTCTGGTATCCAAGGAAGAAGTTCGTTATTCTGGCGATATTCGTTGGTTGTGCTCCTTCTTCACCGCCTTATTTCAGTCATTCAGCCACATTTCTTTTGCTTTGAAACGTTGAAAGAAAACGTTACGATCAGACCAACGTCATTGCCCTTCTGTTGTTTGAAACATAATGAAATTAGAAAGGGATAATTTTGCCAGAATGAAAATGTGATGTCACGTTTTTATGCAAATGCATTTCACTTGACAAAGAACATTGCATTTTGATTAACGAGATAGGCCAAGGGGACAGACGTTCGATCTTGCGTTCGAGATAAAAATTGACTTTGCAGCAAGGCCATATATAGTCTTTGCAGTGGTCTTGCAGTGCAGTGCAGTTGCAGTTGCAGGGCCTTGGCAGTGGTGTTGATTTAATAAGATGTTCGCTGGAGCACGTGATTAGAGAGTTTACCGTCTTTGAGTGAAGGTAGCAGATACGAAAAACAGACTATAACTAATATACCTACATGGATGCATGACACATGACACATTTTGGTAATTTAGTTTTTCTCCCTTCCATTCTAATAGCAAACTTAGGCTCTGTGCTTTTACAATTTAACCTTGTGATCATGAAGATGTAGATGTCTTCGAAAGCTTAAGGAATTTAATTTTGTATACATGTTATGTCTGAAACCTTTGCCAATATAATCGGACAATTATCAACATCTCTCAAGAAAACGATCCGAAAATACGAACACACAAATCGGAAGCTCATAAAAGCAGAATTCGCACTACGGTTCAATGAACAATGTCTTTGCATTGTATAAATGCTATTTTTCTTATAGGTATTTGTTATGGGTGGATTTACCAAGCCAGGCCAGACACCGCACTAAATGAATACTTCCTAGGTGAATACTCCCCCTCTGCCGTTTCATCGGCAAATTTCGGGCTGCCCGGGAAAAAAGGAAACTTCACTGAAGCGGCACATGCTCGTGCACAATCGCACAAATCTTTTACATTCAAATTAATTCAACTGTCTGTTGCTGCTCCCGCCAACCGCGGAATACCTATTCCCGTCAGTAGTTTCATATAAACACCGCCGGATCGACGCGAATCCGGCGGTGTTTGATCGACGCGAGGCCCAGTCTTTTCACTGGGCGTCTGATTTTTCTTTTTAACCAAATTCCCTACGGGACGACATACACAGGCGAGCGCTGGCAATCACCCCTCATGACCATCGACCCCAAAACCCCTTTGGGAGTATTTCCAAAAAAGCAGTCACGTGTTCAAGAGTGTGTCGAGTGTAGGTCAACACCTGACGCGCGCAAGAGTGAGTTAAGGAAGCATCTTAATGGGAGTACTTGGCTCCGAAGAACCGAAGAGTGTAATTATTTTTTGGTGTGTTGGCCTTGCATATGACCCCTGACCACCAGCTGAGCTCCCACATTTAATTTTTGTGATCCCAGGCAACAACTATTGATTATTCTCTTCCCTCCCGATCAACAACAACCGATACAAGCAGTTATGAGCAAGCCAATTCAATACACACGGCATAGGTACCCGTTTTTAATTGGACTTGGGTCCTAATTCCCAAGAAGTGAAAGATACAACTCCATTATCAGGGGCTCTGCCACCAGGGGGGAGGGGGCAGGATCCGGACCCCGCAATAATTTCACTTCCGTAGTGCAGCCTTATGTATAAGGGTGTGCATTTTTAGGTTGAACCCCCATCCCCCAACCCTGAGACCAAAGCGGAGCCCCTGTCCAGTGCGAAAAGGAATAGCGCTATTTGTGGGCAGGCAGATTCACAAAGGCGAAATAAACGCGTTTTAACCGGCCCTTGCGCAAACATTATGCCGCGATACCATGATCATGTCCAGTGTATATGTTTAGAATGGCGAGTTTCCGTCATGAGTGTCTGTCCTATTAAGTGGATTAGTAAATCGTAGTGTCTATGGTGGGCAAGATAAGAAGCCATGATGTCAGCCGTAGCCTCTGTGACAACCGTGATATGATGTTTTAAAGTGTTGGACTAAGTTTGCATGACGCGATGCCAGTCGTTTTTGCCCTCCATCTGTTTCATCTTCTTACCTCTGACAATATCGCTGGAACTTTGGTTAGCTGGCGAGCACAGTTGAGCTGATTAATTCCTAATTCCCTGCACGTTTTCATTGTTTTGTTTTAAAGTGACGTTACCGCCTTTTTATGAAATTTGGCGTTTTATTAATTTAATGCACTTGTTCAAGGAAGTGAAATGTTCATTTCCGGCGACATTCCCCACCGCACTTCCGATTTACAGGTCAAAGCACGGAAAAATAGCGATAAATACGCTCTCAGACGTGAGAGGACTAAGCGCCACGGAGCGTCCCGCACTACACGGGCGTGCTGCGGCACAGCCTACCAACTGCAGCTTTCCGTCCGTCCCGAGTCGACTTTCGGACTGCTGTCGTGTTACACAACGCAGGGAAATTTATGCGGTATGAAAGCCTGAAGCTTATTTAGCTGGGTCTATTAGGTCAGTCAGACCGAAACTGCACGATAGTCATCCACTCCACTCACCAAACATAGGTATGGAGGTCATTTGTGCACTGTAATGTAAAACATGCGAGGCATCATCCATATGAGCCGCGTATCGCTCATCGCTGGCTTTATTATTATTGTATCATCTTTATTATCATCATTTAAATCGACAGATGCGAATGGTCCAACAGCACGCAGGGGCAGCTCCGTATTTTGATCGAGCCGAGCCTGTGGCAGCGGGGCTCGAGACTCGATCGGGCCGCGTCGAGAGGTGAACGACAATATGAATATCGCTCGGCGCCTCTGCCGGAAATAGGGCCGCGCGGGCCGGCGGCCGCGCTCGGCAGATGGACGGTTTCGACTCTGCTCCGTCCGGCGCGACGGAAATCGAGCCGCGGTCGGGTGACGGTGACTGGTGGCGAGAGGGGTGCCGGTCGGGCCGCGCTGCCGGGCCCTCCGTCACACCCCGGAACTAACTGACCGCGGCACTGCGGGGCGGGCGCCGCGGGCGGAGCGCCGCAGGAGTCAGATCAACGTCCTCCGCCCTCCGGAAACTGATCAGCTATCATTGTCAGTGATTTTAGTGATTCAGTATGTGATTTAGAGCGTTTATGTGAAGAGAACCAACTTAGTATCTACCTTTGTGTTTTCAAGACGTGTGGTAACAGCTAACACCATATTGAGAAGAGCTGTTTAATATTCCGCACCTCCCCACAGCAAATGTGCTCGTCCATTATTGTCACGCGTCCTTCTATCTACCGCCATCCGAACACTGGCGACAGCTTACACACTGAACTTATCGCGGAATCCCCTCGATTTTGGTAATGCGATTTTAACAAAACATAATAAGCTTTGGGAAATGAGATAGTTTGACTAAGCTGAGAGCCGAGTGCCGGTGAGCCACCGCTGGGCTCGGAGCCTAGCTGGAGACGGAGCGCTCAGCGCTGAGACAATGTCTCGCGGTTGAGTGGACCGATCCACCCGGAGCGTGGCCTCGCAGCCCCTCCCCCTCCCCTCCCCATCCGCTCCCGGTGAGCAGTTCACACCACCTCTCCGCGGCGCGGGAGAGACTTCTCACCATCTAACCCATTTCACTCGGGGTCTGCGCCCCAGACAGTGGACATGGACTGGTCGAACTAGCGTCATTTCGAACTTGATCCTAACCGTGATTCTGGGACTAATGTGTGTAGGCTGACTGAAGATCTGACTATCTCGAACTCTGGCTGTAGCTCTGAGGTCAGCCTCAGACTGTGCTTTGTGTAGCTTCCGTTCCCTACACTCAGCAGTTCGGCATAACGTCATCTCCCGGCGTCCGTGGACCACGGATTGGTCTGTTCTTGTATAGCGGTGAACCATTTCTTCAACCATTTATGCCTGCCTAATCCCAATACCTGAAGTCTGTATCACTTATTGTTTCTCGTTGAATCCATCTGGTGGGTGCATGCAGTATTTTCACAAATCACTGTTTTTTTTTTTTAATAATCGACCAAGTCCGGGTTAGGATTCTACCTTTCATAAATCCGCAATGTTTCGCAGCTGTTCTTCCGGGAAAAATGTCCGATGTCTTGTTAGTATCCGTACCGATGAATTTTATTTCAATCTTTCTAGCGATCATTCATCTGGCGAGTTATTGGCAGGATTACCTGTGTCCGTGACGCCGGCTGAACTGCGAGCGGCTAACGGTAGCCAGTGACGTGGTTAGTCGCTCTCCGGTCCCACAGAGACGGAGCCGGAACCGCGCCGCCCACCTCAGGACGCTATTGGGCCGGGCTCGCGGCTGCACGTTTGTACATACACCGCCGAGATATTTGGTGGGACATGGCTGATGGAAATGTGGCCCCCAAACAGCTGTCGGCTGAACCTGTCAGCAGCTGCGCGGCTGCTTACTAATTCGCGGGAGGATTACGGAGACTATTGGTTCGGTGTCCCGGTGGTTTGTGGCATGTCGCTGAAATACTCCGCCGACAAGGCTTCGAAATGTCATGACCTTTGCAGCTGTAAAACGGATTGATTTGAATCTGATTAGAGACATGTCAGCTTGACTGCTGATAGCCGTATAACTGGAATATGACAGATGACGAAGGAACGTGACCTGTCAGCTGCAACTTTCTCACGATTCACGAATCATATTTTTATCGACGACAGATCAAGCAGGTTCTGGAACATGCTAGTGGCAGCTAAATAGGTACCTATGCTCTGTGCTCATGGTGCTCTTGCGAATATATACACAACCGATGGTATGAGCAGCTGAAATATCTTTGACGACGGTGTATTTATAGGGGTGATTTTTACTACGAACAAGAGGAATACGAATTCTACCGATCGGGATGTTTCATACTCAGTTGTTGATCAACATATAACATATTTATTACGGGGATAATATTCCAATGATTGCACGATCAGACATCGAGAGACAAACACCGACACGGGGCAGCTGGCCTCGCCGGCTCGCTCCGCAGCTGCGGACCGATCGTCGAGGCCGCGCCATGACTGCCCCACGCGCCGGAATCACCCGAGGAGTCAGTGGAGGGCGCGGCGACCCACGGGGTCGACCGGCGCCCGCTGACTCGCTCAACGATTAAATAGACTACTTGTCACATAACGAGCACACGTCAGCCGATTGACTTCACGACAGCGCGGCGCGGCGGTCTAACCAACTACGAACGGCGACAGTCACTGACTGCGGAGGCGCGGCGGTACAAAACGAACAGCGTGCACCGCACGCCTGCCCGTCTGTCTCTGAGATCAAGTACAAGTGAGCGCGACCGACCGGGCAGGGCCTCCGGTCCCCAGCTCTGGATACAAGCTCGACAGGGCTGCGACGGTCACCCAGCCTGCCGCACGGCGCGGTCGGCCGGGCACGAACAAGCTCGGTTACGACTCGTGGCCGCGTTCCTGGAAACGCCAGCGCTTCACGCGGCGTCGACTTAGCCTGCGTGAACTGAGATCCGACGGCTAACCCAGGCGGGGAGGTGACATTGATTGTAAGCGCAAAGAGCGGCGGGAAAGCCGACCTCTGAATGCCCGTTAGCGAATCAAAGCCGGCGATCGCAGTCCCTATCAGACCCCCCAACCAACGGAACGGGACCAAGGAACTGGCGCAGACCCTGTGAGCCTAGCAAGCTCCCAGCGAGCTCCTGGAGAGCTCCTGTCGCGAGCCGATCGAGTCCTGACTGAGCTCCGACCGCAGGGGCGACATGGCCGATCGCAGACGCTTGTTCTTGGCGCGCCGGTTCTTGAACCAAAACTGGACGTTCTTGGGCTCGAGTTTGGGGAACTTTTGCCGGTACGGCTGCCGGTTCAGCTCGTCCGTGTACTGCAGGATGGTGGTGTGGCAGGGGTGCGTGTTGAGACTGAACCAGTTCTCTAGCAGCGGCACCTCGCTGATCGGGTCGATGAAGGTGCGGTTGCGCTTGCGCTGGTGCTCGGCGCCCATGCCGATGGCGGGGTAGCCGACGTTCTGCAGGCCGGGCAGGCAGCCGGACATGTACATGGACATGGACTGACGGAACACGGACGGGTCCACGCCGTAGCCAATGCGCTCGAAGTGCGCCGACGTCATGTGGCCCATGTAGGGCGAGACGAGCGAGGTGGCCGGGTGGACGAGCGACTGCGGCGAGCCGGCCGCCGTCGAGTCGCGCCGATCCGTCTCGGCGTCGCCGTCCGAGCCGTCCTCGTGCTTCACGTCGTCCAGCGCCGGCTCGGAGGTCATGTGCGCGTCCTCGCCGTCCGGCTCCTCGGAGGCCGAGAGCGAGCAGTCGTCCTCGCTCGGCTCCAGCACCGGACTGGCGGCCGGACCGTTCTGCGCGCGCTGCTCAAACTTCTTCTGTGCCGCCCGCGAGTTTTTGAACCAGTAAATGATGTTGTTGATCTCGAGTGGCTTCCGGTTGCGGCCGCCTCGGTAGAAGTTGAGCTCTTCCATAAAGTACTGCATCTGCAGAAGGGGAACGAGGCGATCAGCGACGGTAAGACTAACCGCTAAGTGCCGTGCTAAAATTAAATGTCAGACGACAAACGTCGTATCCGGAGCGTCTCAAACTAGAGAGTAGGGACCCTGTCGACAGTCAACAGTCATTGCCTGGCCAAGACCGCAGGATTGCGAATAAAGGAGAGATGATTCTGGCGGAAAAGTGGCAAAAAGTGATTTCGGTGCAGCTGTATCTGAGGTCTAACTAATTTAGCGTATGCAGAGGTAGTCACAGCAGAACGTTAGTTGAGGTTACTGGAGCATTATTAATTCCATTACCACCGTGCTTTCGTAACAGAGATCGCGGGTGCAGACTACCCATAGAATTTCGCCCTTTTTATGTAATTGATGATCGCCTTATGACGCTGTGGACTCACCTGCATTTTATTCGGGTGTGGGTTGATGGAATACCACTTCTGCAGCTTGGGGATCTCGTACTCCATGTCGAAGCTGGTGCGCACACGAGGCTTGCTGCACTGGTGGAAGTGGTCGTGAGAAGCCTGAAAGAACCAACGCGGAGTCGTTAATTCTGCAAGACCTTATCCTACAATTAAGGAAAGGTCGGTCCATGCTTGCTCAGCGCTCTGAGTTTTACCGTCTCCGTAAAGTTTTGCACTGTACTTCACTATTCGTCGTTTCGGGAACCGTAATCAGTTACTCCTTCCGGTTGAATGGGGGTGGAAACACCTGCTCACCTGACAGGAGGAGGAGTTGACCTCGGCCCGCTGCTCCCGCTGCTCCTGCGCCTGGCCGCTGCCACTGCGGCTCAGCTTCTGCGCCTCGTACCACTGGTTGAAGCGCAGCACCGTCTCGGCCGACAGGCTGGGCAGCGCCTCCGACGTCAGGTGTGCCAGCGTGCTCTGAGGAGAGACCGCACCAAACCGGGGTCAGGTACCGTGGAGTCGCTGCAACTGTCATCAGGGACATAAAAAATGACATGGGAAGAGACGGGTAGGAAAGCAAGTTTGTGTCTAATGTGCAAGCTCAACCGTAAGGTGAGCTTGTCGTCTGCATGCCACAGATAACAATGCCTTGCATCACCTTACAACATTCACTAGCGATCTCTCATAAGCATCACAACAGGCATAACACGAGCTGTTTCAGAGGCGAGCGACCCCGACCGTAGAGAGTGCGTCCGAGGCCAGACACTCTCCGTCGTTCTCCACGCCGCTAACAAACTCGCTGTGGCCGTTCGATCGGTCCGGGAAGCGGCACCACCACTGAAACTGGATCACTGCAGATCGCCAACTGCTCCGCTAACGACGCCCCGTGTCGGCGCGGCGCCCTGTCCCCGCCGCAGTCCATCACATCGCACCAATTATACGGGGCCAGAGCGGGCCGGGCGGCGGCGCCGGCCACCGGCCACCGCCCGCCGCCAATCCCCTGGAAAGTCGTAAAGTTGCCCGTGCGCCACAAATCCCCATTACCAGAGGAAATCCCTAACAAATCTAAGAATTTATGTGAGATTATTGAAGATCAGTTGCAATTGTCCGCGTGGCTGGAGTCGGCATCAAAAACGGGCGTCACTGGCTTGGTTTGGAGCCATTTCGGCCAATCCCTGTGATGGAGGGCCGCCTATAACTCAGCGGCCGTGCGGATATTGTGTACTTTCTGGCCGGCACGGCGCGCCCAGTTAAGATGTCCGGCGATTGGCAGTGCCAATAAATCGCGAGGTGTGAATCGAGGGCCGGTCGTCGGGCGATCGCACGGAAAATGGCCGCGCCGCGCCGCGCCAGAGTGACCTGTAGCCCCCCCCCCTCCTCCGCACCCTCCCCTCCCCCGGCGATACGGCCGGTCAGCGGCACTGCTCCTCCGATCGACACGGAGGCTGGCCGTCCGTCTCTCAATATATCCTGGTCCGGCCGACATAGTTGTTACAGTACCTGGCTGGCAGCTACCTTACGTAGAACTAACTAACGGGTATATAGTCACAACGATGTTGAGGCGGAAATCACCTATCCGTGCTTCTATCCTCAGGATACTGAAATCCTTCTCCTCCACGCCACAACCCCCTTCCGGGCTGGACAGGCAACTTTATCTCATGCGGGCTGCTCCCTTGGAGCGGCACCGCTGCTCCCGAGGGAGCGCACCCCGTAGCCGGGTGCAGTGAGTGCCTTGGGGCTGGGTGGCCTGTCCTCTGGACGGGCTCAGCCCCGGCGACTCACTAGGGTGCCTGCCCAGACCAATGTCTCCCCCTAAATCCTATCATCCTTCCGGCTCTGCAATGGTCTTGTCGACCGAAAGGGCCTAACCCAACAAAACAAACAAACAAACAAACAAGAGGCGGAAATCATTTATACCCTCTGCGCATATTCAGGTAACAGTTGCGCTGCAATATTGCATAGTTACTGAGTTATGCAGTCGCACCCACTGGCCACTACCTTCATTGGTTTACTCCCTGCTACTCTTTCCTAGAATTTCACTTACCTTTTTCCTCATAGCATGACAACCATTCACTTTAGATCATTTACGAATGTATGTTTGATCGTGAAATATTCATGCAGTTCTAGGCAGCACATGAAATAATATCACTAAAGACGCCATTTTCTTTGACCAGCTCATCTCGTCATAAATCGTGAATCGGCTTTACGTGGCCATAAAGCACCGTTAGCTCATACACAAATGGGACGTGGTTAAGCGGCGGTTAAACCGATTTAACTGTCCATGGTCTAGTAATCCGGTCTAACTCATGAGAGCGGATTCAGATGACGAGAAGTCCGTTAGCGCACACATTAGGTGAGCGCCGCTAAGCCGCAGCGGCTGGACGTTATACGACTGTCATAAGAACCGGGTCAGACGGGACCACGTCATCACTGGGTCCGGGCGGATCACACTCTGAGAAAAGCCGAGCGCCGCCACGCGGGCCTTCTCGGAGAAAGGCCGGCAGTGACGCAAGAACGTTCGGCGGTCTTACTGCGTCTGATCACACCGGGCATTATCAGCGAACTGGGCTTAGTTTGCTACCAAAAACCGGTGCGTGCCTAGCTAAAGCGTGTTGTCAGTATATGATATGTCCATCTAATATGTGATTACATCGACCATCATTCAATGGTTCGAGAAATAACTCGGAGAACAATGCTAAAGAAATATGTTACAATATCGAAACGCACTGGGGATCGAAGTCGTGCATGTTCCGTAGATCCTGTCCATTAACAATTCGTACGATTCGTTCATTACGATTCATTAACGAAACAATGAAAAAAGCTGAGGCATGTTGCATGAATGAACAGTGGACGTTGTCGCTCAAGGCAGCATATGGCTTCTGAGTTCTGAGGGGAGGGCTCCCATAAAAATCGGGTGTCGGTAGCGACATCTCAATCACACGCGCGGTTCTCGACGGCCGGCCGTCCCCACCGAGCGCCGCGCACTTTTGTATTGACCATCGCAGTAAACCGTCTCGGGACATTACTTTTATCGGCTGGTTAAAACGTCACGCGGGAACGCTAAATCATCATTTGCGGTCAACCAATCTTTATTATCGGGGTATCATCGCCTCCACGCCTCCACCAATCATATTTATCGTAACATCAGCCCATTTAATTCCATTGGATAACCTGGCGTCGGCCTGTTTAGTAGATTTTCGAAATGACGTAAGTTTGCAAACTCATCGATGAATTCGAGAGTCGGAGATTACGAGGGGCGGTCGGCGGCTGCGGCGCGGCTGCGGCGGTGGCGCGGCGGCGCTGTCGCCCGGCCGGCCACTCTTCATATGGTTCGGCGATCGGATGCCTTCCCAGGGGGACCGATAGCGGCGAGATTTATCGCTAAATTCTGCCGAAAGATGGCATTAGATGTCTCTCGGTGCGGGGCGCAGAGTAAATCATCGGTGACGACAGCGGCGGCGAGCGGTGTCGGCTGCCGCCCGGCGGACTGCGGCCGACGGCCGACGCACCGGTAATTGGCGCTCCGGTATCGCCGCACAGTGCCGCATACCACTGAACAGAACTACATATCGCCGCACGAACTCGAAGGACGAGCGCTTTGCACTTTCCCACAGAATGCCACTGGGTAATTAAAACCATTAAACCAACAGAAATTGTACGATAAAAGCATGTATGTCACAGTCAACTTTACACAAGGGGAGAATATCATATGTAGATATGCCCAAACCAAACAGAGCCCCTGTTTTCTCATCTGAAAGGTACCCTGGTTAAGGCGACCGTACGTTCCGTCTCCGGGTCTGACGACGTCCAGCGGACACCAGGTCAGCGCGGCGATCAGGATGGCCGGTATGTCAGTAATACTGTCCGCTCCTCTGTTCTGTCCCCTGGTCTGTCGGGTCTGCACGAGTCTTCCAGGGCCTGTCTCATCTCGCCCAGCGGACAGCCGGAGGCGGTGAGAATAGCCGGTCTGTCAGTGATACTGTCCGCTGCTCTGTTCGATCCCCGGTTCTTACCTCGTCCAGCGGACAGCCGGAGGCGGTGAGGATGGCCGGTCTGTGTGACTGTCCGGGTCTGTAGGGTCTGTATGTGTCACTGTCCGCTCCTCTGTTCGATCCCCGGTTCTCACCTCGTCCAGGGGACAGCCGGAGGCGGTGAGGATGCCGCTGCCGTGCGTGACCAGCAGTCGCAGCAGCCGCTCCTTGACATCGGCCGCCTGCCGTCCGGCCGGCGTCTCGCGGCAGAAGATGCGCAGCGTGGCCGTGTTGATGACGTCGCCGAGGATGTCGGCCACCGTGTGCCCATCGGCGGCGCAGACCTGCTCCAGGGTCAGCGGCTTCCAGTTCCGCAGCGACAGGTACGCTATCATAGGGAGAGGGTGAGGGCTCGGGTCAGCCAGAGACACAGCGACAGGTACGCTGTCACAGGGAGAGGGCGAGGGGTTGGGTCAGCCAGAGACACAGCGACAGGTACGCTGTCACAGGGAGAGGGTGATAGGTCGGGGGCTAGCGGCACGGAAACTCGGCGGCTCCTTTCTTTTGAAATTGTCAGAGAACATATTATGCATTGCAAATCAATGCAATTTCACGCTAGGTATGGGTCAATCAACGGGCCAAATGTTATAGTTTGTCGCTTCCAAGACCCCCCACTTAAAACTAGCCCACGCTCTTTTTTTATACAATTCTGAGAACGAAAATCCTATGGGTGTCCTGCAGATTCGATTTTGGTGCCTCGATAGTCCAGCTTTTACAGCTCATGCCGAAGTGAGAAGCCGTCCGTCCCTACTCCCGGCCCGCCCACACAAACCCGCGGCTGTGTCAGCTCAGGTACGATTCCCGACCCCAGACGAGGCGGTCCGTGTCAGCTCAGCCCGTCGCGTCGCTCACCGGTGCTCTCCGACACATTGACGTGCTCCAGGCCACACTTGTGCAGCACTGCCGCCGTGACGTCATTGAATTTCGTCGACGACGGGATGATGGCATAGTCCTCGATCCGGCGCCGGCCGCTGCTCCTGACATCTGCCGGCAGGTCGATGAACTCGACGACAAACCTGACCGGCAGAGCTGCCGCTGCTCCCACTGAAACACAACGGGGATTAGTTCGCTTTATTTCATTGCACTGTGTCCCAGGCTGTCAAGGCAGAATCCGTGCGAGAGCTTAAGGCTTGCATGTCCTTAGCCTTACATCCGTCATCCACATCTCTCAACAGTTTTTATTTTATTTAATAAAATGCTAAGGCTGCTCGGGTAAGCCTTCAGATTCATACATTAATTGCTCGCTCCGATCTTCTTGTAATACTTCATCTGAACATACAATGCTTCAAATAACCTGGACGTCGACGCCGGATCTGCCAAATGATTTTATAATAAACGGCATGACTAAGCGCACATTTCGGTTTAGGTATATCTATGAAACTAGCCGCTTCTGTCAGCGCCTGAATGTATGCTGTACCGCACGACTTGTGCTAGCGCCCGAATGTATGCTGTGCCGCACGGCTTGTGTTAGTGCCTGAATGTATGCTGTGCCGCACGACTTGTTCTAGCGCCTGAATGTATGCTGTACCGCATGGCTTGTGTTAGCGCCTGAATGGATGCTGTACCGCGCGACTTGTGAGTGTTAGCGCCTGAATATATGCTGTACCGCACGACTTGTGGCACGAGAATGGCAGTTTTCGGAAAGAATCCGTAACCATGACAGTCGAAACAGGAATGCAGAATACCGAACAACCCGATCGGGCAGCTTACATGACAAGTGAATTAAAATACGTACTTATACCATGTGTATCAAAACGTCTCAATGAGATGCCAAAAAGTTCCCTGACCTCAAATGAACAGAGCATCCCGCCAAACCATCTATGCAAACATCATTTGACTATCTGTTGAATGTTGATAAAATGTCCCGGTGTCCCTCTGCTCACGCCGAGCGTCCATCCGCCGCCGTCGAGGGAGTGTGAGCAGAGCACCGAGAGTGAACTGAGGACCCCATCCGATTTCGGCAGCCGCCTCTCCGCGGCGCGCAGACTGCCGAGTCTCCCAGAATGAGGAGATTTCAGACGCAGCGACCGTGATCCCTCTCCGTGGACAAATTCGATTTTGTCGGCTCAAATTCGTAAGCTTACCCAATCAAAAATTCATCTCTAAGTCTTCTCACACAATCCTATTCAGATGAGGTTTAGCGGAGTGGCTGGCGTCCCGCCCGCTCGCAGGCGCAGCTCCTTCTGAACGCATTCAGCACGGTCGTCCGAACAGAGGACAGGAGTAACCGGGGAGACAGTGTGACACCGACCGCAGGACAGAGGGAAGAAGGGGAGACAGCGCGGCACTGAACAGAGTACATGAGTGAACGGGGAGGCAGCGCGGCACCGACCGCAGAGTCGGTACCGGATAAAACGGATAGAACGGTACAGGATAGAACGGAGAGACATTGTGGCACTGAACAGAGTTCAAGATAGAACGGGGAGACAGCGCGGCACTGAACAGAGGGCGGGAGTGGGACAGAACGACATCGACCAGCGAGATGAACGGAGAGACCCGGGACACGGACAAGAATATTGGACGGAACGTGGAGACGTGGAGCAAGGGTATCGGAAAAAGGAGAGATCGGTCAAAGAGACAGAAGGCCCGGACTATAGCCGCGGGCCGCGTGGGATCCCTGTGAACCACGCAGGCTCACGCGGTCTAAGGCAAGACTGATCAGCAGTGGCTTATAGCCCGACCGTGGTCTGATGCTGGCTGATCAGCAGTGGTCGCGCCCTGAGGCCGGCTGATCAGCAGTGGTTTACCGTTTGCCGGCTGATCAGCAGTGGTTTACCGTTTGCCGGCTGATCAGCAGTGGTTTACCGTTTGCCGGCTGATCAGCAGTGGTTTTCCGTTTGCCGGCTGATCAGCAGCGGTTTACCGTTTGCCGACTGAGACCGGCTGATCAGGCATCAGCATCTCTCAGCGGCCCACGGTCACAGTCCCAGGAACACTCGTACGCTGTTATCGTCGACCTGTCGTGATGTAATGGGCATTGTGCAATGGATTTGGTAATAATGAGAAGTTCTGAGCCAGATTACCATCAAAATAGACTGTAGATTACAAATGCGCATTTCCTTGAAGTATGTCGACAAAAAGCGTACAGTCATGCGAGAAGCTTTAATGCTTTACTCTCATTCCTGTCCTCGTCATTTTTTTTTGCTGCTATCGTCTGACATCAAAACATGGATGCTTGTTGCTTATCTTAGCCTTTGCTTTGCTTCTAGAGGCATACTTGTTCATAGATCGGTAATACGCAAAACACGGGGAACCCTGTACGAATTAATTCTGGTCATTTGTCATTCCACCGCGGCGGTCCAGTGTCAAAACGGGTGGTGATTCAGTGTCAAAACTGTTTCATCACTGTGTCTGTAGACCGCACTGACAAAGTCCGGCAATACTCGGGCCATGTGCGGAGCGGACAGAAAGCTCGCCCCGCCGCCACGACGGCTAAGCTCAGCCCTGGAGCGCCGCCGCCGGCGACTGGAGCCCAACCGGAGCATTTCCTTTCGCCAGTGCCGCGTCCGTTTCCCCGTCGAGTCCGGGCTTACGGGCGCCGCCAGATTAGAAGCCCTGCAGCTGAATCGGATTATGGGCATGATTGATGATCGCGGGCGACGGCGGATTACCGGTGATCCTCGGCGGCTGCTCTAATCCTTTTGAAGGGATCGCACCTAATCCGGACGGCCGATTGGCGGCGCGTTATTTTGGCGCACCGTGCTCCGCTTTCCTGGGAGCTGTGCTGTGTGTTTTGGCACGCCGCGATGCCGTGCATTGTTTGGGAGCGCGGCGGTGCGACGCCCACCGTCCGCCGGAGACCGGAGGCGCCCGCCGCCACTGTGGGGTCTTTGCCCCTCCTAGCACGACACTACTCCTGCGGCGGTACGCCGGAGTCAGCTGACCGCCGCGGCGCCGGGCAGCGCAGCGGAGCGAAGGGAGCCACGCGACATCTTCTGCTTTGATGTCTCGTAGTAGCTGTTTGGGCAAAATTGGGCAAAAGATAAGAGTTGATTCCAATGCAGAATTTATGGGAGAATATTTTGATATGTGTTTCCACACGTAACTCCTGCGGCGGTACGCCGCAGTCAGCTGACCGCCGCGGCGCCGGGCAGCGCGGCGGAGCGCTGAGAGCCGCGCGACATCTTCTGCTTTGGTGTCTCGTAGTAGCTTTTTGGGCAAAATTGGGCAAAAGATAAGAGTTGATTCCAATGCAGAATTTATGGGAGAATATTTTGATATGTGTCTCCACACGTAACACCGCGTAACTCACTTTGTAAGGCTATGATTTGCCGAGTCGAATCTCCGAGACAAGTGGCATATTAACATTTTTTTTATTTCATTCAAAAATCATACCTTTGGATTATTTTTCAAACTTTTCATGCATATGCTCGTATTCCTCCTTAAATACAGATTATAAAAACATGTCGCAACATCGGATTGGTGCTTGATTAAACGAGTGAGCAGGCGTTCCGTTGTCATGTAATTTTTCGCCTCATCCTAGGGGCACGGTGCAAGTCAGCGCAACCCTTCACTTTGTGACGTATTTTGATGCATAAGTCATCATTTTTAAAGCGATTTAAGGTCGGATTCGGATACACTGGACAATTCTGCGTAGAAAGAATATAAAGAAAGTGGAAATCAAAATACTCGTATTTGCCACTTATGTCGTGCTAGGATCGCAAAAGTCCCCACGGTCCCCGCGCCGGGAGGATCAGGCCTCAGCGCGAGATGGCCTTCCCGTGTCTGTCGCCAACTTTACTCTCGACGACGAGGGGATTTGGAATACGGCCGGATTCATAGGATTTGCTGTAATCCCAACGCAGAAGTATCACAGAGTGTTTTTCTGTGATAAACGGGAATGGGCGGCCGGCGGAGCGGCTCGCGCGGTGCGCACCCCACCTAAAAGGATGACGGCCGAAGCCCCGCAGACGCCGTCGATACGGCTCAGCTGATACAATAAATGCGGCGCATCGACTGTTTGTGGGTGCCCGGTGCCGGGTGCCGTGGCACCGGATAGGTGCCGGGTGCCGTGGCATCGAGTGGGTACACTCGGGGGCAGATTGATGTTCCACAACTCTTTATCCACCGGGTTCCTATGGCTCAGCATTGGCAGCAGCCGCCTGGTACCGGTAGACTGTGCCGCTTCACTTACTTGTCAAGCGGCACAGCCTACCCACACCGTATGCCACCGGTCTGGGTCGGTGGCTGAAAGGCGATGTGGGCCGCCTGTGACGTCAGCGCAGCGGTGAGGGCCGAGCCCGGAGGCATGGCTCGGGTCGGCGCGGCGCGGCGGCTGGCGAGGGCTGGGGAGTGAGGTGGGGTGGGAGCACGGACCATCGCGCGGCTGAGCGAGTGTAGTTAACTTTCGCGTCTCAAGGCGCCAATTATTCTACCTAACAATTGTGCTAAAGCAGTTGTTAAAATGTCCTATCCCCAAGACAGCGCCTATCATCATACTTGCCATGCACATTACGACACACTTAAACGTGACATTGGGACAGCCGATATAATTTATATCACACGTGCATCGAGTTGCGGAGCTACATTGTTTTTAACAGATATGTATTAAGGCCTTGATTGAGCTCATTGGTGGCTATTATTTCGCACAGCAATCGTCCAGAGACGTGGGAACTGGGGTTTTTGGATAGCGCGGCGTCCCAACTCTTATGTTCCTCTAATGTGTGGTCGCAGCCACCAATAGCAAACCGTTCCATCTAGGAACAAATAAGTCGCGCACCTGGGACGGTTCGAACCGGGTTTCTCCAACCGGTCACCCCACGACGCTAGCCTGTATCCACTGAGCTGCCGAAACCAGCGACCACCCGCCGTGGTCAAACGCGATCAAATGTCACAATACTGTCATTGGCGGTCAGCGGGTGAATGTCATTTTGTTTTGTGCAGATGAGGACCATTCTCGGTAGCTCAGTGGATGAACGCTCGTGTTGTGAATTGGCCGGTGGGAGAAGCCCGGTTCGAACCCCCCTGAATGGCCGACTTTTTGGCTCCTAGTTGGAACGGTTTGCTATTGGAGGCTGCGACCACATATTAGAGCAACAGTAATA